AAACGGAGGAAGAAGAAGAAAGGGAAGTAAAGGGGGATTCATTAGGGGGGGGTGGGAATGGCCGGCGCCGGGCCCGGGCGAACGCGCTGGAGGAGGAGGAGGCGTTTCTCGCGATGAACGACCCCGGCTGGGCCCCCCACCGCTACCACAACATCTCCCAGGCCCGCGCGACGGAGGTCTGCGACGCCCTCTTCGCCAAGTACAGCGCGAACATCATGCCGAGCCTGTGCAACGCCTTCGAGACCCACCCTTCGACCGCGGTGCTGCGCGCGATCGAGAGCTTCGCCAAAGTCTGCCGCCCGGCCGTCCTGGCGGACATTTTGGAAGGGATTTTGGCCCTGACCGCCGCCCCGGCGGTTGAATCGGCGGAAACCCCCCCTTCGCCGGCGCTGCGGGGGCGGCGGCGGGTGGTGTTGGACATCGCCTGCGCGGTCGTCCCGCGGCTTTCCCTGCCCCACCTCCACGCCCTCCTCGCGGACGTGATCGAGCCGGTCTTGACGGACCCCGCGCCGGACTCGCGGCTGGTGCAGAAGAAGGCCTATAAACTCCTGCTGGCCGTCTTCGAGCACCGCGCGGCAGACCTCGCGGGGGTCTTCCCGCGCGTCCTCGGGCTGCTTTCCGGGGGCCGCCCGCACGTGACGATCTCGGGCGTCAAAATGCGCCTCCGTTGCCTGTCCTGGGCCCTGGACGGGTGCAAAATGTTCGCCCCCGCGGCGCTCGTCCCGACGATTCGCGGGGTCGTCGCGGAGGTGGTGATCTTCGCCCGCGAGCCCGCCCACGACACCCGCGCCCTCGCGATGGCGATGTTGGAGAAGATGCAGGCCTATCTCGTCGGCGCCGGGGCCCCGGTCCAGACTCTTCTGCACCTCGTCGTCGCGGGCCTGAGCGGGGAATCCTCCACGATGGTCTGGAGCGCCGTCGTGTGCATGGCGAAGGTGCTTTACCTCACCCACGACGCCCTCCCGGAGGCCGACCTCCACGCCGCCGTGGCGCTGGCCGTGGGGCTGATGGAGTCCGCCCTCCCGCCGGTCCGCCACGCCGCCGCGATGTTCGCGCGGATGGCGCTGAAGTTGCTCGGCCGCAGCCCGCGGGTTCGCGCCGCGGTGGCGGCCGCCCTCCCGCGGCTCCTCCACGCGATCGCCCTGGTGACCTCGCAGCCCCGCGTCGCGAGCGCCGTCCGCGTCGAAATGCGGGAGTTGTTGGCGGCCGTCCTCCGCCGCTTCGGCGAGGCCGCGGTGGAGCCGATCTTCCCGCTCGGCAGCAAAAACTTCCTGCGGTACACCGCGAAGATGATGCGGCGGGAGGCGAAGAAGGCGGACCGCGCGCAGCGCCGCGTCGCGGCGGCCGCCGCGAGCGACTTCGACCGCCTCTTCCTCGGCCCCGC